ACTCAGAGCAATCGCCAAGAATGTATTTTAAGAAATCAAAGAGAGAAGTGGGGGAAAAGAAGAATGAAGAGAAACAAGCAATTTGAAGGACATTATGTGTACTGCCATTTCATTCATGGGAAACGTTTAAGGAAAAATATGCATGTAAATGCCTAGGAAACTTCTAGAAGGATACACAAGACCAAGAGCTATAGGGGGAGCAGGTAAAAGAAGCATAGGGAAGAATTTCTTTTTTACTTTTCACTCTATAACCTTGTGTCTCTTTTAAAAATTGGGAACATGTGTTATTTTTGTAACTTAAAAAATAGATATTCAATGATTAGAACAAAAATGCATTGATGCAGAAAATAAAATTCCAATTTAGAGAAAATTAATTTCCAAGAAAACTGTCATTCTCTAACAATGTCAAAAAAATTAAGAGTAGCTATTCAACACTGACTGCAGGTCAGGTTGTCATGACTCATTTTGATTTCACATATGGAAATAAAATTGCCTACTTCACTGGATTAGACATATTCAATAAAATTTACAAAAAGCACCCAACAGTTGCCAGCACTTAGTAGATGTTCAATAAAAGCCACTGTTATCACACAGTCCTCCCACACCACACGAGCCTGACTTGTGTCAGGGATGATGAGTCAAAAACCAACATGGAATAGCTATAGCAAGATGCAGGACTTGAATTCCACCCCAGGTGAACTCCTTCCGGACTAGAGTCAGCCTTTGAGGAAGATGAGAGTGCAGTCCTCAGCCACAGAGGCATCTCCTCAAGATCTGCAGATGGTCCCACCTCCATATAAGAAACACCCCACTACCTATTCAAATCCCCACTTAAAAGAGACTCCTACACACATATGTATTTTCCCCCCAAATTTCCTACCCTCTTCTCCAACAAAACAGCTTGATGACTAGTAGAAGCTGAAGACTCCCACCCTTCTTGCTTTCCTTCTACATTTTTCTGTTCATAGATTCTCCCCCAATATCTCCAGCATTCTCTGGAGGCCAAATATCACACACACACACACACACACACACACCCGCCCAGACAAGGAGGCTATGTGCCGTTCATAAGCTCCCAGGCCAGAATTCTCCTTTCCCCAAACCCTTTGCTCTTTGAGAGGGCTTCTCTTGTTGCGGAGCATGGGCTCTAGAGCATGTGGGCTCAGTAGTTGGGGCACAAGGGCTTAGTTGCCCCGAGGCTTGTGGTATCTTAAGGCAGATCTTAACCACTGGACCATGAGAGAAGGCCCTCAAAAGTTTTGCTCTTTGGGTTGTGACCTCCCTCAGCCTCCCCCACCCCACCCCCCACCCCCACCAATCAACCCCTGGATCTGGCTGCTCACTCTGGACAGGAAGTAGAGAGAGACCAAATATGCCTTACAGGCCTGTCCCTTCGAGTCAAAGCCCTGAGAGGCTCTGCTTCAGTCCTCCTAAATCCCCTCCCCCAGCCCCAAGGGCAGGTGGCAAGCCCTGGGAAGGGTTCCCACAGTGCATTAGCTCTGAACAGGTCAGGAGGAAGAGGAGTGTCATGCTATCCAGCCTCTGTTGTCAATAATTCATGAGGTTCAGACTGAGGGGCACCAGTCAGAGTCAGTTTCCCCCGGCACATGGGGAAAATTAGACTCAAGCTCTCTTATCTTATTGGGATGTGCTGAATATCACAGCTGTATAACATCTCGATTGAGAAATAAACTATAAATCCAGTGCATGCTTGTTATATCATTCACTACTCATACACTTTTAGATGCTGAAATCTTTTTGGCTGCTTAGCTGAGCTACACATATACTACCTGAACCTTTAGCAAGTATGAATTCTGTTAAACAGCAATCCCTGGAACTAAATTTCACAGACCAGGATTTTCTCTCCTCTAATTGTAGGGATTGACATCAGGTTGCCAGACTGGTGATTTCACAAACTAACAACCCTTTTCTCAACCTACCCATCTGCTTTCATCATCTTCTCTTAACAAAAAGACTAACACCAAAAAAAAAAGAGCAAAAGCATATCACAGAATAAAGGACTATCTGTTAAATTAAATAAGCTTAGCTTTATGAAACATGGTATTTTCTTTTTATTTTTTTGCCTTGAACTAGTGAAAACTTAGCCTTGGATCTGCACAACTTCTCAGGCTGGCATTTGGAGGCCACAGGGTTAAACCAATTCAGATGTTGACACTGGGTCTGTCGGGGCCTTTCTTCAGTGTATCATAAGTGATCCAGATTTATTAATTCTCCCAGAAACCCAGGAGGGAGATCATTTCAGCCCACTTGGCAGAAGTGGAGGCTGAAGTCTTGGGCACAGAATTTAAAGCTGGAAAGGACCTTATCTATCATCTACCCCAGCACCCTCAGCTTACAGATGGAGAGCCTGGCCTGTGGCAGCAATAATTACTCTATGGTGGCAATAATTACTATGTGTTTAGTAGTTCAAAGTTTATAAAAATGCTTTTACATTCAACAAATATTTATTGAACTAGGATGGCGGCTAAGACCTGGGGACACAGTGATTATAGAGAACTTGACTGCTCCTGAGTGCTCTGAATTTCCATCGCTGGTTAGGGGACCTTCTAGCCTCTTTGCTACCACTTAGGCCTAGAGAAGTCCTCTAGAGTGGAGGATATAAGAGATCCTGTCAGGTCAGGATCTTTAATTCTGCACACTGGTTACCCCTGGTGATCAGAGTCTGCCCTCCAGGCCTATGGGGATGGAGGAGAACTTGAGCCAGAGTAAAGGGCAGTGCGGGCTTAGCCCTGCTCCTCTCCATTAGGTGTCTCTCCTAGGCTCCTCCAGGCTCCCCCGAGACCCTCAGGAGGTGAGCTCCCTGGGGACCACGGGCCTCACCCCCCATGAGCAATCTCAAAACATCTGTCCTCCTCTGGGCTATCACAAACGTGGACCCAGACTTTCTTGGAAAACAAAACCCACCTTGAAGTTCTAGGAAGCAAAAGCAAACAGTTAAAGTCCTCTCTGTCCCAAGAACTGACGTGGGCAAGCAGATGTGTGAGGAGGAGCGGGAGGACAAGGAAGTCTACGAGCTCCCCGAGGTGGGGAGGGCCCTACAGGGAACCGGGACCGACAGCACCATCCCCGCCCCCGCGCCCGGGGCCGGGCCCGGCGAGCGGGGGATCTAGGGGCGCGGCGGCCACAAACGGCAGGGGGCGCTCTCGGCCACTGGCGGCTCCCCTGGCCAAGGGCCCGCGCGGAGCGGGACGAGCAGCCCTGATTTAGGGCTTCCGGGGAGCGGGGAGCTGGGAGGGGAGCGGGCCGCCAACGGCGGCGATTCACCCTTCGCCCTGCCCCACTGTCACCTCCCCTGGGCGGTGCAGAGCCCTGATTCCGTCGGCGCCATGCTGAAGGTGGGACTGCTATTAGGTGCCTGTGCGCGGTCGTGGAAGTCGGTCAGGATGGCAAGCTGCGGAGTGGCGCGCCGGAACCCGCTGGAGAATAAGGTGGCCCTAGTAACGGCCTCCACTGACGGGTGAGTGCCTGAGCCCGCGTCTCGGAGTCCCCCGTTGTGTGCAAACCTGTACTACCCCCTGTCTTTGGCCTCCCGCGCCCTCTCTTCAGTCCTCCCGTGTGGCCAGAGTTGACCCTGGAAGAAAGGCACCACGTGGTTGGCCTGCAGTCCCCTTCGGATTCCGCTCCCCTGGCCTTTGGAGTTGCCGGCTCTCTTGTCACTGCTGCGTCTGCCGCCTTGCTTCTTCCCCTCACCCCACCCCGTCTATCCTGTCTCCTGGGGTTCTGGGCCACCCCAATCAACTGGCTCCACCTAGAGTCTGGGAAGAGGCCAGAAGTCCAAGACAGTCCAGATTCCAAACACCCTATCCACTGCCTACACCGACTGCGGAAATGTTCCAGACACCCCACCTTGGCATCCCCAGGAGTCTCACAGAACTTTGCCCCTTCTCTAGAGGGGACACAAGTCATGTGTCCAGATTCTTGCTTAGTTCAGTATATCGTGGCCTCCCGTGCCCAGCCTGTTTCTTACCAACCCCTTTTTCTCATTCCCACAGACCCCTGCTAGATGCCAGCTCTTCACAAAGCTAGAATACATATAAATGGGGAAGCCTAATGGCTAACAAGTGCAAAATGTGTAACCCTGGGGGCTTCCCTGGAGGTCCACTGGCTAAGACTCCATGCTCTCAATGCAGGAGGCCCAGGTTCAATCCCTGGTCAGGGAACTAGATCCCACATGGACCAACAAAGACCCATATAGCCAGATAGATTTTTTTTTAATGTGTAACTCTTTCTCCTATGAACATAAAAAATTTATGTTTGTAACCAGAGACCCCCAATTTCATATGTACCCCAAAACATAACTCAGTTCAGTTCTGATGCTGAGAAAGATTGAAGGCGGGAGGAGAAGAGGAAGACAGAGGATGAGGTGGTTGGATGGCATCACCGACTGGATGGACATGAGTTTGAGTAAACTCCGGGAGTTGGTGATGGACAGGAAAGCCTGGCGTGCTGCAGTCCATGGGATCACAAAGAGTCAGACATGACCAAGCAACTGAACTGAACCGACTGAACCAGAAACCCCCAGTTTCATATATACCCCAAAACATAACTAACAATAGAATATTGAGATGATGTAGACTACTCTACTAAAGAAAGTATTTAGGGGTAGAGGCTTTTCTGAGAGAGATTCTCCAATCATGGAAATCACTGCTGCTTGCTATACCCCTAACTCATTTCTCTCTCCCCTCAGTCCCTATAGGGTATGGAGCCTATGACCCATGGTGGATAACACCTGTGGAAGGTGTTATCACTTCCTGGGAACCTAGACTGAGGGCCAAAACCATAATAAAAATAGTAAACCAGTGCCAAAAAGATGCTAAGCATGTCCATCTGTATGGTATTGGCTGTGCCATTAATCCTAACACGTGGAGGTCCTACAGAAAGAGCTGGAATTCAAATCCCAGGCAGCCTGACTTAAGAACCCAAGGTCTCACCCTCTTCCTGTACCAGGCTTAAAAGTCCTTATCTCTCTCTGCCCACAGGATCGGTTTTGCCATCGCCCGGCGTCTGGCCCAGGACGGGGCTCATGTGGTGGTCAGCAGCCGGAAGCAGGAGAATGTGGACCAGGCGGTGGCAACGCTGCAAGGGGAGGGGCTGAGCGTGACGGGCACCATGTGCCATGTAGGGAAGGCTGAGGACCGGGAGCGGCTGGTGGCCACGGTAAGCAGCTAGAATACGGGTCCAGAGCCATGAGATAGCAGAAGGGAGGCAGCCTGAGCTGGCTTTCCTGGACAACATGGGTGTAATCCAAACCAGCACTGTTAACTAAAATAAAATAGTGCATTCTGCATACCCACACCAGTCCACTAGCACATTTTTATGTGTGCCTTTCTGTTCTGTCTCCGAGAATCAGCCCATCTCAGTCAGAGAACCAAAAAACACTCTACTGTTTCTACCCTGCATTGTGCCTTGGGGTGCCCAAAAAACTCCAGCTGGTCCTGGCTCTCCAGTAGCTTCCAGTCTAATTGGGCAGATGAGAGGGGTAAATAGGCATTCCCACTATAAGCTAAGAAACAATCAATCCCCTGTTTTTTCAGTTTATAAAGTTGAGTGCCCAGGAACCTACAGGAGGCAGCCCATTATGTTTCAACCACCTACTGTGTGCCATTCACTTTGTCTTGAGCCTTTCACAGGTTACCTCCAAACAACAACCCAAGCAAGGGCAGGACTATGCCCCCTGTTCAAAGAATGGTTCAGAAAGCTGGAGCAACACCCCAAGGTCCCACAACTAGTAAGGGAAGAGGTGTGAGCAAACCCAGACTTACCAGCTACCTGTGTGTTTATGTTAGTCACTCAGTCATGTCCAACTTTTATGATCCCATGGACTGTAGCCCACCAGACTCCTCCATCTGTGGAATTCTCCAGATAAGAATACCGGAGTGCCTAGCCATTCCCTTCTCCAGGGGATTTTCCCAACCCAGAGATCTAACCCAGGTCTCCTGCATTGCAGGTAGATTCTTTACCATCTTAGCCACCAGGGAAGCCAAGCTACCTCCAGACTACCAAGCATTTCCCTACCAGGTCAGGTCTTAGGTGCCCTCTTAGACTTTGGTCTCAAAGGAAGTGGCTAAGCCAGTGTCGAGAGTTGGTGGCACCAGTCTTGCAGGTGAACACCTTACAAAGGAGGCCACTTTTTCCTAGGCTCAGGGCACACCCTTTACTTCTTGGAGTGGCAGGAAAAATCTATCCAAGGATGGGAAGCCAAAGATACTGTGCTGACAGAATGAAAAGCGGTGGAAATAATTTGGGTAATTTTAGACAAGGAGGGCATGAAACTATTGTAGACAGTGGCATAGTAGACAGCATAGGTTATTCCATTTGTCAGGAGTCATTTGGCAGATGCTCAAATGTGCATTGGAGAGAGTCAGTTGTGGGTCCAAGAAAGCCACCATGCCTGGCCACCTCTGCCATCTCTGCTGGACAGAGCCTGAGACCTTGATCCTCAGGGCGGGAGCCAGCTGGGATCCTGGGCCAACTAGTAGCCATGTGAAATGTATGTGGCCATTTAATGTCAAAATCCTGCTGGGAATGTGACTTCTGGGCCCTCACCAGGTCCCCTTTGCCCATCTTGCAGCTCTGACCCAGAAGTGGGGTTTGAGCTAGACTTTGAGGAGTGGGTGGGGCTAGGCAGATGGCATAGGGCCAGGATCCAGATGATCCTGCAAAATGAGCAGATAGCCAAGGAAGGGAGGGGGGTGTGCTCTGTGAACCCACAGTGTAAGAGCACAGGCTCGGGAGCCCTGGTAGGAAATGGGTCGGGTGGGAAGGGACATGGAGGACATGGGCCTCCATGGCCTCCCAAAGGAGTTTAGACATTCTTGGAGGAAACAAGAAGCCACGCGAGATTTTGAGCAAGGTGGGAATAATTACTAAAGAACAATAATCTGGCACTGGTAGGAAGGATATATTGGAGAAAAGACTCTGGGCAAGGACATTGGTGAGGAAGCTGACGCTGTCACTTGGGTCTACAGCTGTGGCAGTAAGACCAGAATAGATGTGCCTAAGAGATGTTTAGCGTGAACCAACCACATTTTTCCCCACTGGCTGGTGTCAAGAAATGGGACTAGGAGGGATGAATCAAAATTGACCCTCGAGTAGTTGAAAGACCAGTGTCGAGAGGAGCATGATAGGATACTTGTTGGCAGTTTGAGATGTGTCCTGCCTATGGCCAGCCACTAGCCTGTGATGAGGGAAGCTGCTGCCCTGAGCATGGTTATTCCCCAGTGGCCTCCTAAGCTGCACCTTGAAGCTTCTCAAAGGCAGCAGGAGCTGAAACCAGATGAGCCACTTCTCCACTCGATTCTACTTAAAAAAAAAAATAGACCTGTCAAAACACAGAGCAAGCAACTCTTAACCACTTTAGGGTAGCAATCACACAATTTAGAGCAAGCCTTAGAAGACACCTGGGTGGTCATAGCAAATTTGCCATTAATCTTCCACGGTTCTGTCTCTTTTCAGTCAAAAGCCAGCCTGCTCTCCTCTCTGTGCTGATAGGCCTAGAAGGAGAAGGGGACGGGATGCACAGACCAACCGGAAGAGCGCTCCAGGCGATTCTGCGACAGTCCGCTGGCTCCCCACCCCTAACACATCTGCACTCAGCCCAGCACGCATCACTTTCTGACACATCCTGCGTTTTCCTTGAGACTTACACAGAGCCGAGACAGGTGACCTGGACGCCAAAATTTAGACAGTACAGGAGAGTACTGATACAGGTTTTGCAAAGATTATGTGATCTTAAAATGTGTTGACAGCCCAGGCATCCCCCTCAGCAGTGTGGAAGCAACTGAGCTTAGCACTTAGTTAGCAAGAATAATTAGTTAAAAACAGGAGTTAGCAGATGGTACACATTGTTAATAACACCCCTCCGTGTGCCAAATCGGGAAGCACAAAGTTGATTGAGGGCCCATTTAGTGCCGCTTGCCCAAGGCATCAAAATTGCCGGGTCTGGGCAAATGTGAAGTCTGTTTGCCCAGTGGCAGAATGCTGGCAGAAAGACTGTTTGGCTATTTGTTACTCCAGCACATGCCTTCACCACCTACTTACAGTTTATTAAAGAGGTTAGATGTTGGCTCTCTTGGTTTTCCCAGCTTAAATCTCAGTTTCTGCCTTGAATCTTCCATGCCTCCAGACCAAAAAAATAAAAGCAGGAGGTGGAGGAGGGGAGAAAAAGGCATCATAACTGAGCATGGAACTGCTTTAAGCCCTGACTGGCGTCTCCTCCATTGTGGCCCTCCTGGATACTGGAATGGGTTGCCATTTCGTTCTCCAAGGGATCTTCCCTACCCAGGGATCGAACCTGGGTCTCCTACACTGCAGGCAGATTCTTTACCAACTGAGCTACAAGGGAGGCCCAGCCAGTTTCATAGTGACCCCCAACTCACTTTTGGAGGACTCATGAATTAGCTCTGGGTTAGAGAGTCAATTCTGCCACCACTAACCCTTGTGCCCTGAGCATATCACCTCTCCAAAGACTCAATGAGCAGAACTCCTGTTCTTAGCCTGTCCTGATATGTCATTCCTGAGCTATATGACCTTGAGAAATTAACTTCCCTGAACCTCAGTTTTATCACCTTTACCATGAGGACATTGGGCGAGATGATTTCAAAGGCCCTCCCAGTGGCAACTTTCTGTGGGTCTATTTAAACTCATTTTTCCATTCAGGTACATGTGGACAGGTGGAGTTTGAGTAATGGTAACTCATTCAAGGGAAACTGGACAGTAAGCACTTGGAGAAATGGGGTTAGGATAAAAGAGGAAGGGTCTAGAAATGGATTTTGAGGTGAAAGCTGAGACCATGAGAATAAAAGAGTTCCCAAAGGGAAAGTCAAAAGAGAAAGGATCGGTGACAGCCTTAGAAGAAGTGGGAGCAGGAAGAAGAGATTGCAAAAGAAATGAGACAACCTTAAATGTTTTAGCAGTAGAGCTTGGTGCTTCCCTCGTGACTCAGTGGTAGAGAATCTGTCTGCCAATGCAAGAGATGCAGGTTCGATCCCCTGGAGAAGGAAATGGCAACCCATTCCAGGATTCTTACCTGGGAAATCCCACGTACAGAGGAGCCTGGCAGGTTACAGTCCTCAGGATCGTAACAGTTGGACACTATTTAGTGACTGAACAACAACAGCAGAGCTTGGGGTGCTTTTGAAGAGAAAATGTTTTAAGGAAAAGAGTTCATTTTGACAACTGTCCCTGAGAAGGAACTCTTTACCAATATTGATAAATGCACCTCTCTTACTGTCCTGTATGAAAAGGCAAAAAGATAGGACACTAAAAGATCAATTCCCCAGGTCAGTAGGTGCCCAATGGAGAAATAACTCCAGAAAGAATGAAGGGATGGAGCCAAAGCAAAAACAACACCCAGTTGTGGATGTGACTGGTGATAGAAGTAAGGTCCGATGCTGTAAAGAGCAATATTGCATAGGAACCTGGAGTTGGGAAAGATTGAAGGCAGGAGGAGAAGGGAACAACAGAGGATGAGATGGTTAGATGGCATCACCGACTCAATGGACATGAGTTTGGGTAAACTCTGGGAGTTGGATTGGACAGAAAGGCCTGGCGTGCTGAGGTTCATGGGGTCGCAAAGAGTTGGACACGACTGAGCGGCTGAACTGAACTGAACTGAACTTACTGTCCTGTAACCCTAATTCAGATCTTCCTCCTCTCTAGGCTGTGAAGCTTCATGGTGGCGTGGACATCCTGATCTCCAATGCTGCCGTCAACCCTTTCTTTGGAAACTTGATAGATGTCACCGAGGAGGTGTGGGACAAGGTAAGAAAGGATGAGAGCAGCAGGGGGTGGGCCTCAGAAGATGGCACACACCAGTCTGCTTTTAGAATGCACTTGTCAAGTGCAGTGTAAATGTGAGGAATCCTTGCAATTTGCCACACACCTGCAGTGCACCTGGTAAAGGGCACATGCAGGTGGGGGGCTTCCTTTGTCCCTGTCTTTCTCTTTCATTTCTGCTTCTCCACAATTTTGTTTTCATTGACTCCTTGCTAACTGTCTTCTGCTTCCCTCCCCCAGCTCTCTCCCCTCTACCACGGTGGGCTTATCCAAGCTCTTCTTCCTGGTTTATTTCCAGCAGGCATGGCAGCTAATATGCCAATAACTAATACACTCAGACTGAAACACCACCCTTCCCCCTCTCAGCTGCCAAAAACAAATGATTTTTCATTAGCTGGAAAACTTTAATAGCTGCTAGTTAAATGAAATATCAATTCCAGTGAAATGAACTAAGTTGCCGCTTTATGACATACAGCCTTTGTAAAAGACTTGCACTCTTTCTTTTTTAACTCCAATGTCAAGAACATCTGAGATCCAGATGTCTGAATTCAAGGAACAGAATATTGGTTTTCATGTGAGGGTGTATAATTACATTATATTTATAATGTATATCACACACCTACATTCTTTAATTATAAAGCCTTAATTGAAAGATTTGTCTTTGTTTACTAAGGTTAATACTCCCACATGATTTGGAAATGCTAAAGTTTTTTATCATCTTCCATGGTTTTGCCTTTTACCCTGATGTCATCAATAATTTCTCAACACTGAAGTTTAAGGATACTAAAATATTCTAGTTTGTTTATCAGTGTTCCACAGACATAGAGACCAAAGTGCCAAAATGGTCTTCAGTGAGTCAATTGCTGATTGATATTCTTTAAAGCAGAGAAACATCTTTCATGAGCAGTCTGAATAGGGACCACATGAAAATCAGTTATAAACTGAGTAATTTTTCTTTCTAGTTGGCTTTTTTTTTTAATATCATAATACATCAAATCTAAATGCAGTGGTTGATCCTTGATTGAGCCCTGGACTTTTAAAATAAGGACATTTAGGGGACAATTGGGGAAGATTTTTTATGGACAGTATATTAAGTAAAATCATGATTATCAATGTTAAATTTCTTGAGTGTGATAATGAATGGTGATGTGTAAGAACATCCTTATTATTTGGAAATAATGCTAAAGCATTTAGGGATACAGTATTATAATGTCTGCAACTTACCTTCCAAGGGTAAGGAAAAAGCTGCATAAGCACATAGTTAGGGCAAATGGCACAAAATTTGAACAACTGGTGAATGTAGTTAAAGGATATCCAGATATTCCTTGTCCTATTTCAACTTATCTGTAAGAGTAAAATTTTTCAAAATAAGCAGTTGTATGGGGAGAATGGGAGGGGACTATCCCAGCAGTGCCTGGAACAATGTAGACAAGGCTCATGAATTTGTTTTAAATTACAGATGTACAGTTTTGATTTTAGATTATGTCCCAGCTCCCCCAATAGTGCCTCCTCATGATCCCATTTGCCAATAAGTATCCAGCCAGACAGTCGATCCTGGAGGGCCAAGAGCATCTCCCTCCCTAACTCAGAAGCCAGAAAAGTGCTGGAACAACCCCAAGTGCCAGAGGTCAGGCCACATTTTCCCTGAGAATCACGGCTCACTCTGGTGCAGGTCCAGGAAGCCAGCCCAATTCACAGGCTCTCACTAGTTGGAAGACAGTCCAGCTCAAGTCCAAGACAGCCTTGAGAGTTCAGATCCATTCTGGGTCAGATCAGACTTAGGAAACAAGATGAACCAGGCTCCATTCTTTCTCACCCAAACCCCAAAACGTGTCATTCTCTAGCTGTCATTCTCAAAGCTCCCTCTCTCTGGGCCATGGTGTCTTCACTTGTAAGCTCTGGGTAAATCATCTCTAGGACCTCTGCCAACCCTAACAAACAGATCCTGGGGACCCCACTCTAACTCTCCATCACCCTGCCTTCTGCAGCCTTCTGAAGATGCTCATGTTGCTACCCCTCTTTTTTCTATTGCAGATTCTGGACATTAACGTGAAGGCCACAGCCCTGCTGACAAAGGCAGTGGTGCCAGAAATGGCGAAACGAGGGTACTGGGAAGGAGGGGGGCCTGGGTGCGATGGGCCCCACGCAGGCCGAGGGCAGGGTGTCCAGGGCAGCAGGGCCATCCTGTTTTTTTTTTCAGAGGCGGCTCAATAGTGATCGTGTCCTCCGTCGCAGCCTACAGCCCATTTCCTGTAAGAACCCCCTTCTCTGCTACTTTTATCCTTTCCTCCATCCTGTACCTTCCGTTCCTCCAGTCACCCTAGGAAATGTGTGTCCCCTTTTGGAATCACACCACCTTCCTTGCCTTGCCTCCACAAATGAAAATAGGGGCGGTTTTGCCATAAGAAAGTTTTCTAACTGGGACCCTCTTTAACAAGAGTTGCCCGTTCTATATTATGTTTAGAACCAAGAATGAGCTGGAGTTGAAGAGACTAACCCATTCTCTCCTTTCCCCAGAGCCTGGGTGCTTACAACGTTTCTAAAACAGCTTTGCTGGGCCTCACTAAGAACCTGGCCATTGAACTGGCACAGTGGAATGTTCGGGTGAACTGCCTGGCGCCTGGACTCATGAAGACTAGCTTCAGCCGTATGGTGAGGAAGGGGAGTCTTGCATCCCACTGGGACTTTAAAGGGCATCTTCTCAATGGAGAAGCCCAGCTCCTGGGTCCTGAGCTCCCAAGCACTTCCACCCACTGCCCTGGGTTTTTCCACACTCCCCCTCCACACCAGCCATGTGTCCAGACCAGATCCCCACACTATCCTTTCCTAAGGTGCACAGTGAGACTGAGGAATTCAGATTCCACTCAGGCCATTTCCTATTTCCTTAAGTGGCTGAGACCTGGAGCAACCCACCAAAATGCCTCCTTAGGACCTGAAGAACGAACAGAGCAGAAGAGGCCAGTGGGTGGTGACTGGGAGCTGGGAAGGACTAGGAAATGAAGGGGGCACCTCTCCATCCTTCCTCTCAATAGATGGGAGGGCGGGCAGTTTGTCCTTTCACTGTCCCTTACAGGAAGAGATTTTCCTTTTTCCTGCAGTTGTGGGAGAATCAGGAAAGAGAGGAGAGCATAAAAGCAGCCATGCTGATCAAAAGGTAAGGCTGTCACAGGGGAGGGTGAGGAGGGATAAAGATGGAAAGGTCTGGTCCCTCGAAGCCCATAGCTTGCCGTCTCTCCGTCCCACAGACAACAGAGCCATCCATTCCTTACTTCAAACACACAGACTTCACAAGTTTGTGAACAGAGCGTCACTACAGTGGTGTGTGCAGGGAGTCTGCCTCCTTGCAAAAACCAAACACAGAGGCATCCAGGTTTAGCAGAGCAGAGCCCTGGGGGAGGCCCTGACTCCTCTCTCCACCTGGATCTTTGCCTCCACCTCTGGGTGTCCCTAACGATCAGGGACCAAAACCAAAATCAAAGCATGCTTTTTTAGTTTGCCTTGAATTAAAAGAGTCATGTTTCCAAAGTTCAGGTTGATGATCCTACAATTCGAATAAAAGGATCCTACAATTCAAATAAAAGTCTCCAAGCTTCCCTTGCCTAAGAAAACTAGCCTCTTCCCCAAAAAGGTCAGGCATCTTCATCTGGCTCCCTGTCCACTAAGTTCTCTGCCTCTTTCCAGTCTCTGGCTTCCGGGAGCTCTCTTGTCTTTAGCTCCTCCACCTTGTCCCCTCAAGGACATGTACCAGCAATGCCTCCTTGAGGAGGAAGATGCTCTCAAGTGCTCCCAAAGCCATTCTCATGTCAGGCATGAGCTGCAGGCCTAGTCTACAACTCATTGATCAGTCAGGGCATTGGCATCCTTGAGCCACAGTGAATGATCTGGCCCTGTGCTTTTCAGTCTTGGATGCACATTAGAATCAACTGAGTAGTTGTGAAAACACAGATGCTCAAGCCTCACTCCCAGAGATTCTCTGTTAATTGGTCCAAGGCAGAACCTAGGCATCTTTAGTGGGGGAAGGGGAGGGAGGGAGAAGTTGAGCCTCTCAGATGACAACAGTGTGTAGCTAGGATGGAGAACCACTAATCCAGTCCTTCTAGGTTTGAAGTACCCACTCCACCCACCTCTAGAGCATTCTATGGCAGTTAGATTAAAGTGTTCCCTAACTATGCAATCACTGATACAAACACTGAGAATTAGCACAATCTCACAAAATGACTTTGAGACAAAAATAGATTCCTGAAAAAGTTGTCTGTGAATTGAAGCTGTACAAATGGAATCATTTTAAACAAATCATTTACTGTCTCACAGACTCTCTGATATTTGAATAGTATGCACACATGTGAAACAATTTCTTTGAAGAATGAAATAGCCTGTTTATCTATATAACTGGATTTTGGTGTCCTGAGTTCTCTAAAAAACAAAGTATCTCTATATTATATGAATATAATGTGTAGTGGTTTTTGCAGAGTGCAGTATTCATGCTTCTATTGAATTATAACGGCTTATAATAATGGTAGCCCTATTTTATGGACAATTAACTGGTCCTGAAAAATTGCCTGATACTTTAGCAAATTCCATTCCCTGATTTTTACTCCCTTCCTTTTTCCCTGCTTCCCAGGATAGGCAAGCCAGAGGACTGTGCCGGCATCGTGTCTTTCCTATGCTCTGAAGACGCCAACTACATCACTGGGGAGACAGTGGTGGTGGCTGGAGGGGTCCTATCTCACCTCTAAGGATGTAGAGAGCATCCACCAGGGCAGAGATTGGGCTCCAGCTCCAGAGTCCTGTTCCTGAATCCATCAACTGGCCTTTCCCACCTCTGCCTAGCATACTGCTAACTTTACACCATAACACCCCCCTGCCACACACACACACATACACACACACACAAATCAATTCTGCCCCGTAAAAAGCTCCAGCATTCTCTGCTATCAAGGTGTAGTCTTAGGAGGATTCCTGCTGTTGCTGTAGCCTTGAACAAAGACGTCTCTTGCGAGAACAGGGCAGGCCTGCTGAGAGGGCTTAGTCTACTGTGGTAAAGACCAACTAGTATTTTTTTCTGGGCATCAGGGAAATTTGAGGGAGATGGGACAGAAAGAACTTGGGAGTGGAAGGAACTGAGTTGGAAATTAACAACTCGCAAATGAGATGCAATTAAAACGCAGATGATCACGATGCTTTGAGTCAATGTGCTCATTTTTCAGTGTAGGGTGCATAGGTGTGACAGCCGAGCAGAGCATAAGTCTGAGTGGACTGGATGCCCCTAGTATGTTCCCAGAAGCTAAGTCTGGATCCTCCTAACCCTCCTCCTTGTCTCCAGGACCTAAGCGTAATGCTGGGGGTGGCGGTGTTCGCAGAGGTGCCAGCTGGGAGGAGGTGGCATGGGAATTCCCAGGTGCTACTCTCGGCTCACACCCGCGGGGATGGCGCCAAGAACATCGCAGGGATCACCGAGGCCGGGCAAGCGGGAAGGGAAGGTCGAGCTTCCCCAAATGTGGCCAGGTCCTCTCCTAGCATCACCCTTGGCCGCAAATTCCTTCCTTCGAGGGTCAGCGAGGACGAGCTAGACGCGTCCGGAGCAAGCAGTAAAAAGGGAGGAGCCTGGCAAGGATGACCCCGCGAGGGGTACCCAGGCCCACAAACAAAAGAAATAGGTTCTGCTGGCGGTGCCCGAGGAGTGGATGACACGGAAAGTGAGGGCGCTGTCCCCCCACCCGGGAGACAGCCCGAGCTCCAAGGCGACACGCACAGGGCGTCGCACGGGAGCCGGCGGGAGGGGTGGGCGCGAGCGCGCGCAGGGTCTCACGCGGCCGGGAGGCGCGGCGCGCATGCTCAATCCGGCACCTCTCCGGGCGGGGCGGGAGACCCGGCGCTCCGAGGCGGGGGGAGGAGCGCTCGCGCAGCCGCCCCTGACAGGAGCGGGCTCCGCGGCTGCTGCAGCGCTCAGCGCCCGGGCCCTGCCGGAGCCGGGTCTAGCATGTGCCGCGGCTCCTCGGCGGCGGCGACAGAGGCTCCTCTGCAGCAACAGCGGCAGCAGCGGCCGCCATGGCCAAGTCCAGCGCGGAGCTCACCCGCGAGCTGCAAGGTACGAGGCTGCGGTGGTCTCTGGGACGCTCCGTCCGGGAGCCTCCCAGCCCTAGTGCGTTCCTCACCGCGGTACACCCCGGTCCCTCCGCCCCTCATGCATCCCGGTTCCAGGGCAGCCCCCTGACCCTGCATCCCAGCTCGAGGCATCGCTGTCCCCAGAGCATCCTCCGCTGCCCCTTCGCCTCTCCCGTCAGGACCTACCTGTCCCAGAGCCGCCCGTCCCGATCTTCAGTGACAGGTGCAGTCCCTTCTCGCTCCCTGGGGCTGACTCTCAGCTATCCTGGCCCATCCCTAGGCGAAGCATCCAGTCTCCCCGCTGGAGAGTCCCCTTTCCCCCGCCGGGCGGGGCCAGGCCCGCCCCACCGGGTGATGGGAGCTGCCCCAGGTCCTGACCGCCTCTAGGCTCAACACCCTCCCTCCTCCCGGCCCCGCCCCGGAACTGGCTCCAAAGAGCCCCTCCAGAAGCCCTGCTGTGCCCAGGCCAGTGGGGGCAAAGACGGGAGTCAGGGAAGAGGGCTTGGATTGGAGCTAAAACCGGGAGCAGGGTCTCTGCAGCTCACCTACAACAATCCCCATACCAGCCTGCCCCCTGCTCTCTACCCCACACCCACACCTCAAGGCCTCTCCTGTTTGTTCTCAGACTGTTCCAAACCAAGACCGACCACCCCCCTGCCTCCACCAGCACAGCCACAACCCTGACCCCCAGAGGTGGGAGCACAGGCTAGCCCACGCAGAAACCAGGACTCTCAAAGATACTCAGAGGCATGCTACACCGTGCCGATTTCCCACACCTCCAGAGGCACACAAGCACAGTTGTGAGATGTCTGTACACACATCTTTACAGAAACTGCACACACACACGCACGCGTGCACACGCACACGCACTGGGATATCTGGATGATTCTCCAACAGATGGATATGGGACTCGTTTAAACACTAACTCCTTCCTACCTCCCTACCCCCCACCCACAGGAGAACTGGCTGGCTCTGTGCCCCTTTCACAACTGCAAGTACAGCATACTCATTCACACTTACCCATCCCCAACACAAGCTCCCTGGCATCTTCTTTACACACATAGTAAAAGGCAGACACCACACCCAGACCATCAAGCATGTAGTGGGACACCCCCGCGCCCCTACACACTGACTCACTCTGTGGGGGTTGACAGCTGCTGGAGTGCATGGGTTGGGAAAATCCTTCACACTCTCCCAGAGTGCCACCCAAATACTGATGTCCCTCAACTCAGGGACATCAGAAGCCAGAGTTTTCTCCGTAGCACCCCTGCCTTTCTAGTAGAAAAAGTCACCCAAGAAGGAAAGGTCTCAATTCCTGTTCTTCTTCATCTCTCCCTGATTCTCTCTCCTCCTCTCTGACCCTGCCCTTGGAGGGCCTTGGGTATGTGGGGGCGGCTGGGGTAAGGGGGCCCCTGAGCAGCCTACCACCCACCTGCAGACAGCATCCGGAGGTGCCTGAGCCAAGGGGCTGTGCTCCAACAACATCGCGTGAAGCTGGAGACAAAGCCCAAGAAGTTCGAGGACCGAGTACTGGTGAGGGCACTGGACTAGAGGAGGGGAGGGGGATCAAGGGCACCCGGGCTGGCAAAGGCAAGGAGCCTGGGGGGCAAAGGAGACAGAGGTGGAGGAGTGCTAAGAAGACATAGCCGTGGGAGGGGGAGGCTGGACTGGCTTGATGTCCAGGAACCTGGGGCAGGGCATAAGAGAGAAGCGGGGACTTCCAGAGCAGAAGGCCAGCTGGCAGGGGTTGCACACGGGCTGAGGGGCTGACAGAGGGCAGGGGGACTAGAGCCCAGGAAACTACCATTTGCTGCTGACATTCTATTTTTCCCTCTCTGAAGGCCCTGACCTCCTGGCGTCTCCACTTCTTCCCCCTTAAAGTCCCAGCCAAGGTGAGTTGGGCTGATGAGTGGGAGAACACCCAGGGTGCTCTCCTGAGCCCAGCAGCCAGGCCTTGACCAGGAGCTGCACGTTCCCATGCCCCTACCCCTCAGGTGGAGAGCTCCTTCAATGTCCTAGAGATCCGCGCCTTCAACACGCTCAGTCAGAACCAGGTGAACACTGGAGCGTGGGCCCGCCTCCTGGGTCAGCAAGAGGAGGGAACCCCTGTCTGAGGCCCTGCTGCTCCCTCTCCCCCAGATCCTGGTGGAGACGGAGCGTGGCATGGTGAGCATGCGGCTGCCATCGGCTGAGAGCGTGGACCAGGTGACGCGACACGTGAGCTCTGCCCTCTCCAAGGTCTGCCCTGGCCCTGGGTGAGTGGCAAAGGAGGAGTCTCTCTCCTCCTCCCCCCTCCCTCCTTCCCCTGGTCCTGGGACCCCGTGACATCAAGGAGAAGAGCTCTCATGTCCCCAGTCCTGCTTTTCCTGGGGATCCAGAAGCTGTAACAGAGGAAGAATTGAGAGCCTCTTTCCACCCCTCTTGGGATGGATTTGTTGTTTTTCCAGGAGTCTAATCCGGCGTGGAAATGCAGACACCCCGGATGGGCCCCGAGACACATCCCCCAACTCTGAGACTTCCACATCCACCACCCACAGTGTCTGCGGTGAGCAGGGGCAGATTCAAGGGAAGGGGGGCCTACACCACCCTGCCTCTTGCTCAGTCCTCTGTGTATAGGGCTTTGCCTGCCCTGAGACTCCACAGCCTCCAGACCTCAGAGGTTCGTGATGCTGCAGGAACCCAAGACACTGGCACATAAAATGCCCTTGACATTTCCTTGAACTCCAAGTCTCTTCCCCACCCCCTTAGCCTTTAAGGAGCCAGCCCATCTCCTGCCCCACAGGTGGCTTCTCTGAGACCTACGCTGCCTTGTGTGACTACAATGGGCTGCACTGCCGTGAAGAGGTGCAATGGGTGCGTTTGGGCAGGGACCTGGCAGGCGGGCAGGTGGGACCTGGTGGGAGGGGGCCAAGGAGGAGGAGAGCAGATATGAGCCAGTTCCACCTCTCCAAGGATGTGGACACCATCTATCATGCCGAGGATAACCGAGAGTTCAATCTTTTGGATTTCAGCCACTTGGAGAGCCGGTAAGTTTCCGGGATAGACTTAACCCCGCATTCCAGCCTTAGCCCAGCCCTGGCCCTTGTGGTCCCACCCAGCCTGGGCTCTGTCTCCCAGCCCCCACACCCACTGCCCTCCACCCATCTAGGCTTCCAACCACCCCATCCTTCGTCTCTTCTCTCCTGCCCCAGTCACCTGCTCACCATCCTCCTGCCCCCATCAATCTTCCCACAGAGACTTGGCCCTAATGGTGGCAGCCCTGGCCTACAACCAATGGTTCACCAAACTCTACTGCAAAGACCTGCGGCTGGTAGGGTCTAGGAGGAATGGGGGACGGGAGAGTAGTGCCCTTTGTGGCTCCTGACCACATGACCCCCTCTGTCCCCAGGGTTCCGAAGTGCTAGAACAGGTGCTACACACCCTGAGCAAGTCGGGGAGCCTTGAAGAGCTGGTGCTGGACAATGCCGGGCTTAAGACGTGAGGCCAGCCTCCTTCTTGGGCAGTGGTGCCCCTTGATGCAGTCTTAGGGTCCCAGAACCTCACAGCATGATGTAGTTCTCATGATGTGGAACCATCTCATCCAGCTCCTCTCTTTACAGAAGAGGAGACTGAAGCCCAAAGAGGGCACACA